TGGAGTGCAAGGCACAGTGGAAAAGAAAGAACTCTCCTAGGTACATATACATGTCAAAAGCTAATGGGTGACTTCACATTACAGTTTTATTTATAAGTTTACCTGCATCATCAGTTTACAGTTCTAGGCAAAGCTAATTTTGTACAGAATTGGACCCAGGCAAGTGAAGCACAGGTATTATGCTGACCGAGAGCAGAGAGACAAGGGTGAAACAGATCCCGCATCTCAAAGACAATCACCCTTCACCCTTAAGCCAAATCCAAATCATTGGCTATTGAAGATCAAATTTAAAGAGATTCCTAATAACATTTAAACAGAGAAAATGCTGTGTGTCTACATAACCAAAGGAAAAAGTTCTAGCTTTTTTAAGATGAAAGAATTTCCCCAGGGGGCTGAGAATGGGGAATGTCTGTCCAAGAAACAAAATATCACTTGAACATTTGAAAGCTATTACAATGGAAGTTAAAATATTTGAAACAGAGCTGTTGTTAACACAGCAGTGCTATCATTCACAAAAAAGGCTAAAATATTCCAGTTGCACTAACTTTCTTCTCCCAAGTCTCCCCATACCATCTTCAATATCCCAATACATCTTTGACATTTGACACTACCATACATCCTCCTCTTTGTATAATAACTCCCTATGAGGTCTTGCTATTTCTTTGCTAAGTATGATGATAGTGAGATACAGAAATTTCAAGTATCAGAGCCTTTTTCTAAAGATGGGTAGTACTAAAAAATTCCACCTGACAACTTGCTTCTTATTTGAGGTGAGCCAAACTAGCTCTGCTCTGTCTAGCAATTGCTTTCCAGTTGATGGACAAAGAAATTTATATGTCAAAATAAAATTTAAAAAAATCCCATCTGAAAAACCACAGAAGCCAATGAGGTCCTGGGAAAATACTTTTCACAATAATTGTACTGTTCACATTGCCTCTTTGAGCAACAAGAACACATGCTGAGGTCAGAGGTTTCATCTGCACAAGGAAATCAGAAACAAAAGCCTGAAGAATCACAGCTCCAGAAAGTTATGCAGTCAAGAGGTATTCTGGGTCTTAAATTCATTCAGAAGATTTTACCCACACAGACATGGCCCTAGCATGCATCATGACTGCTCATATGGCAGAATCCTGGGCTAGTACCAGTTTTGGTGGAGGGATGAGTTACTTATGGAAGAAAATACTCTTTTCAATCATAAATTATTCTCATGGATTTCTCAGTCTTGGAATATTAGCACCAAGGGAAAAGGCAACAATGATTGCACAAATTATTCATATAAAGACTCTGATATTAAACTAGACACATATTTAAAGACTGTCAGTGAGAAAGTTTATTGATCAGTAAGTGGAATAATTCATAAGGAAATGCTGCCTACTGATGTCTATTTACTGCACTGCATGTAACTGATGATCAGCTCAGATTAAGGAAGGTGCATGGACACAGCAGAATACACAGGCTCTTCATACCTCACCTTTCAGCCTCAGCTTGGAAGCATGAAGATTTCAATCCTATAAACATGCAGTGCCTCAAAAAACCTATTTCTTATCCTGGTCAAAGAGGCACAGACATTGAAAAAGCCACATTTTGTCTACTAAAGAAAGATACCCTTCCCCCAAAGACCAGAATCCACAGTCCTCCACCTTTTTCTCAGAGAAACTGTTGAGAGTTTAGCCAGGCAGATCCTTTAACACAAGAGGCAGTCTGCAAGCAGTAGAAGACGTACACCTTGACCCAAAGTCCTAAGAATACATCCTTTCATTATTCTAACTGTCATAGCAATAGAAGATTAAATTTGTGTGGCATTTTCTGGAAACTAACAGATCATTAAATTTCCAAAGAGTGTATACTGTTATTTGCTACCATTATCACTTGAGGAAAATCTGCCACTTGCAGCATAAGAGAACACAGACATAGTCAGCTCAAAGAAAGATGAAAACCTCATAGAAAATGCATCATCCTCTTATGTAGAAGAAATTAAAATAGAAATGTTTCTGACGGACAAAGCTGGCACAAGCTATATTAGAGATTTCTGTCTCATCTAGAGGGTTCCTGCAGTTGGGAAAACAAAAGGACCTAGCTTGAACTGTGGAGAATGAAATGAGTAGAAGAACTTACTGAAATACTAGAAAAATCCAGCAAAGATTTGTTATTTACAAAAGTATAATGGATGGTAAATAGTATAAATTTGTACCTGCATAAGCTTAGTAACTAAGCAATAAAAGGGTGTGAGCAACAGTTTTAAACATATTATGAACAAAAAATTCCTTCAACAATACAGTTTAAAAACAATCATGACAGAGTATTATGAGACTTGTGCTTCTCTTCGCAACAGCTAATATGATACATGCATGTCTGTGGAAAGACAACTGAGTGTATCACTTCAGTTCCAAGCACTCCTTGTAGACAATGAGAAATGTACTGATGATTTCTAAAACAACACTTCCCTCCTAATACAGTGGAACACCCTTTGTAACGGAAAATTCATTCTAACATTTTCAAGCTAATAGTTTGTTTTCTTCAACATTAGAATTGTTGGACTCTGGCTCCAGAACTGAATTTCATCCAGCTGAAATAATGTCAAAATCAGTACTCCTATTGTGCAAGGGAAGTTTAAATCCTGCTGGGAAAAAAAAAAAAAATGTACTGTTAACTTCTTCTGGTAGGGAGAAAAAAAAAAGACAATGTAAATAAAATGCTATGAAAACTTTAGTTCTTAAACACTAACTTCAAAAACAGTGAAAAATTCACAAGTTAACTCTACCTTGACACATGAAGGTTTGGATTGCACACAATCCTTGCATTAACTACTTGAATATAGTTATATGCTAACAGCTATTTATGCACATGTTATTAATGCTCAGCTGTAGACATATGGGAGAAAACTTTCATATAAATACTATGAATGTCTGAAAGGCTATTTCTTCTTAAAGGATGAAACCAATCCCATGTTAGCCCTTTTCCTTAATATTGTGCATATCTACATTGTATGTTGAATGTAATAATAAATCTACTGTTAAAAGACAGTGCTTAAACTACACTGATACCTATAGTTTGTGTGCCATGCTCCCTAGCCGACAAATTTACATGAACTGTATTGCCAACCTCCCCATAAGACTCTTTTTGCCAAACCTGGCATTTTAAAAGTGAGACAGGCAGATAAGAGGTCTGTGTCAATTTACACTAACAGAAGGACAAATTTCAAAGGTCTTAACACTCTGCCACTCAAATAATTTAAGTTTTTCTGCTAATTTCACCAAAAAAAACAAGTCTGTGTGCATTAATGTTACATGAACAAAATAGTTCTGCCAGTGTAAGGGCTCAGTCTCTGCACTTAGAACCTGCAGAACTTGCCCACTGCTAAATGCTATATTGAGATTGACCAGCACAGACCAAACCATAAATTGACACACATTGACCAAACCATAAATTGGTTTGTTTGCTTGTTTTTAATTTAAACATGTTAACAACGTTTGAAAGCTTGTATTATTAGTGCCAAAGCTCTGAGAAATGTCCACTTCAAAAAACTGTGGACAGTTTTTAGAAAGAGGCTGTAAGAAAGTAACAGAGAGATCTTGCTGAGATAGATGTACCAGTAACAGCCTCATGATGCTTCCTTCAGTAAAGGAAGTCACTTAATGGTGATTATGCATAACAAATGCAATTTTTTGCATCTGGAAGCAACTTAAGTTTCATCATATCTCCTCAAACCAGGAAAAAGTCTCTAAAACAACACATTTAACCTGAAAAACCACCATACATCCGAAAGAGAATAATTTCTCATCATGCCAATATTCCATAAGAGTGTTTCACAGTTTGTGGGTTAATGAAAAGTTATTACACTGGAAGATTTTTACGGCTCCAACAGAATTTGATGGAACAATTGCAGATGCTGGGTTCCCATGCCTTGGAGGGACACAATTTTATACAGGATATATTCAACCAACAGCAACCATCAGTGTAGCAAGTAAAATGCTAGATATAGCTTGTGTAAACCATAAGAAGCTAAAAGACACTTAATTTTAGAAGGGTACACCTGTGTCTAAATGAAACTATAGAAAACACATTATTGCAAATATCAGCTGCTATTACATTGTCCTAAAGTATCTTTAGGACTATAAAAACTGGTGTAACACAAGCACCTACTACATGAAACTTGCAAGAAGTGAACATTTCTCATAAGCAGCTTAAAAGACTTTAGAGCTTCAGCATCTCTGAAACCTCATTCCATTTAGATACCTTAGAGAGGAAGGATGCTGGTAAAGACATCTTGCAAAACCTTGAGGTGCTCCTTCAAACCAGAGATCATCTGAAGCAATTACTGGTTTGAATTCTAACATGCATTTTGCCTAAGTCTACAATCATACTTAATATCTTACCAAAAAAAAAAAAAAAAATTACTGAGGCAGGACAGGAAAGAGTTCGTAGTCTGAACACCATCACCTGCCATCCCTCATCTTATTTAAAATTGTGTTGAGATCGAGCGTTTTCTGACAGCGACATGACATGAAGCCGCGCACTGCCGCAGCCTGCCTCCCCTCCCGCAGCCGCAGCCCTGCGTCCGTCCCCGCTCCGACCGACCTCGCCGCACAAGTTTACGGGGAAAGAGGCAGTATGTGGCATCCTAAGCGAGATTTACTGCTCGGGCTGTTACGCCAGTCCGGCAGTAGAGGAACAGGCTTCCTTCCCTCCCCGACACCAGGTACAGCGCGCACTCCGCACCCGCCGCCCCACAGCCGCTCACAGCGCGGGGCCGCCGGAGCCGCGTCCCGCCGGTGCCTCTGCCCGCACCTGCCCCGCTCGCTCCCACCCACTGGCACGGGCAGTGCAAGGCAGCGCGGTAAGGGACGGGCACGGAGCCCCGCGGCAGCGCGGTAAGGGATCTCCGCGGAGCCCCGCGGCAGCACGGCCGCCTCCCCAGCGGCGTGGAGCGCCGAACCGCGCCGAGCGCTTCGCCTTCCCGGCGCAGGGCGGCCGCGGGGCGGGCAGCCGGGAGCACCCACCGGGGATGGCCAGGTTGGTGAGCGGGGTGCTGTGGAGGCTGCCGGGCAGCGCTGCCATCCAGTCGGCGAAGAGCAGCTCGTTCTTCCCCTGCGACGAAGCCATGCTGCCGCCGCAGCCGTACCGCCGCCGCCGCTCGCTCCAACTCGCCCAGTCCCGGCCACGGCCACCGCCACTGCCACAGCCCCGCCGAGCCCGGGCCCCGCCNCCCCCCGCCCCGCCGAGCCCCCGCCGCCTCTCCGCGGCGCGGCGTGAGAGCCCACGGGGCCGGCACCGAGCGCGGCGTGGACGGACGGACGGACGGACGGCACCGCCGGGCTCGGCCCGGACACTCGGTGGGCGATTCCGCCCCAAGTACCGCGGGGGTCCGGGCAGGGAGCGGCGCCACGGCCCGGTCGTGGCGGGTCCGCACCGCCCCGGCCCCGGGCCCCAGCGCCCCGGGCCGGGCCGGGAGCGGCCAGCAGAGCCCGCCCCGGGAGCGCGGGGCTGCCGCCGGCCGGGCGTCTGTGCCTGGCATGGCGCTCGGGGCCCCGGCTGGCGGCTGGTGGCCCTGGGCCTCAGCAGAACCTCCCTGACCTTGGCGATGGTTCGGCTGAATGCCCCGCGCCGGGACCCGACATCCCTCGCAGCCGGATCCCGGGCGGCTTCATCTGCCCCTGATACGAACGTCTCTTGTTGCAATGGGTTGTTCACACGAAAAAAAAAAAAAAAAATCTGTGCACTGTACTTGGGCATGCCGTGAAGATCTAATTTTTTGGCAATAATTTTTTATTCTTCTTTGAGCATGATCCAAAGTAGTATCTTTTATTATCATCTCTAGCCTGTCTTTGGAGAAACATCTTAGCGTTGGCAGTAAGGAAGCATTTGCGTGGCTGCCTCAGGATGGATGAATGAATGAACCTTATAAAGCTCTGTGAGCCATTTTGAACTGTTAGAACAAACGTGGCCTTTTCACCTTCAAAAATTACCCATTTTTGTGAAAATTGTTTATGTATGTGTAGAAGTTCATATGGTGGAGCTGTCAAAAACAGTGCCTAGAGAGAGCCATGATTGAGGCAGGTTCACTTTATCAGTTCACTTTGAATTCTTATGAGGGTCAGCTCTGGTTCTGCAGCTTGTGTTTTTACTCAAACCCTTCTATAACAGCTGGGTTTGAAAATAAAACTTCAGGGAACAACTAATAATAGCCCTCCCTTCTCTTTCTGTCTAAATTTTCCAGAGCAAGTATCATGAGAAGCTCATCCTTTGGCCACAATTCCGTGAAAAGTGAGTGACTATTTCTGAGGTATTTAAATAAAGGAAAGTTTGCTGATTCACTTTTTGCAATAGAAGTAGCTCTTGAGGAAGGATTTGTCTGGGGAAATGTGATCATATGGTTGACCTTGGGAGAGATGTTGAGTCTGATTTGAACAATACATAAAAAGGGGGGAGGAGAAAGCAAACAGCCACCAAGGCCTGTCAAGTTTTTGCAGTCCTGCATCCTGTATATGAAGATGCTAATCTGCCCCTTCCAAAATCCCTGGTATTAGCAAGCATGAAAAAAAGGACAAATCCACATTCTGGATATGAAAACATAAACCTCACTAAAAACATGGAAGATATTACATAAAGGTGGAAGATGTTACATTACATCATCTTGAAAGAATGGAAGAAATTTTAGTAAAAATTTCAGGATTTTTAAAGAGCATTCCAGTGAGGCACAATTAATGTTTCTATCAATATGATTAAATCAAATCCGATTTTTTATTTAAGGGACAAAGTTGTTCATTAATTGTAATGGTCACCTGGAAAATTGCTGATGGACTTTCATCAATTTCACTATGTGGCCTACCTTTTCTAAGAGAAAACTGAAGCATACATCTTTTTCAAAAATTAAACATGTTAGTGCTGCTGTTGATCTCTTATGGTCTCTGAAGCTTTGGGGATAGCTCAGAGCAAAATCAAACAAATACCACCAAACTCATCACTTTAAAATGTATTAGTAAGTAAAATAATGTCTAAAACTGCCTTTCAGTAGTGCTTTCTACTCTGATGAAGACCTGTAAATATCCCTCTCTGTACTGACTAGAAACCTGTTGGCATTTGCTTCTGCAAGTAATTCAGGCTTTTGTATCTTCTTCTTTTTTTTTTTTTTTAATGCCCAGAGTAAGATACTTCATAGTCTGGATTTTGAAACCATGGATACTCCGCTTCATGAAAACTGGCCCACTCTAACGGGTCTCACACAAATCATACTTGAAGACATCTGCCTCTGTTTCTAGTGCAAAGTAACTGCTAAGATAGCAGGCTTAAAATATGTCATTGAGTGTCTATGAACTTGAGAATCACAGGCTTAAATCACGGGTGGGATAGGAAAGGAGACTTTTATGGGACAGAAAGTGAGAAACATTTATAGAGCAAACTAAGAAACACTGACTTGGAAGCTTTGACTTCAAATAGAAAGATTTTTCTTAGTTTTTCAGTGGTATGAAAAGCATTTGTCTGTGTATCTGCTTGGGAGGCGTTTAATAAAAAAAAAGGCAAACCATTTATCTTGATTAAAGAACAGCTTATTGTTGTTTAGTTTGAAGCTGTTATTTGACTAATTTTCACTGATTTATAAACAATGATAGCCTGTAAATCAAAGGCAGAATATCCATACAAGCTTTTATCCCTACTTAAAAACAGTAAGAAACAAAAAAAAAATCACATTTTTGGCTATATTATTGAAATCCTTACACATACCAAGTCTGAACTGTTAAAGAAAGTAGATTCCAGGAATGAAATAACTTAAAAGCTTAAAAATATCAGGTAAAATGAAAATGAGAAGCAAGATACAAGAAAATACCATCTTTGCTCTTTCATTCACAGCTCTGCTGAGCTCACTGAAGATGCCATGAAGAGGTGGAAAATTGAAATTGTGCTATCTGTTCATCATGTACTGTGTTCTCTCCAGTCTGCAGTGTGTATGAATAGAGACACCTCTGCTTCCATGGAATGGCAAAATAGAGTAATTTAGCCAATGGGAATGATGCTTCAGCATTCAAAACTAATTACACTATTAAAAAAGACTTAATGTTGGTTTTACTCTCCTAAAAAAATAGCATTTTAACTGTATACATTCACTGTTACACTTTTTCATTTTAGCAATCATAATTTGCTTTTTCATATGTCCTTGGCGTCTATTTTAATCATGTGAATAACAAAGGACTAACAGGATCTTTTTCTGTAAGTTACATAAAGTACATTCCATTCTGAAAGGTAAAGAAAAAATTACTTAATGGGGCATTGTATTTCTGTGACTATCCTACTATATAGAAAATTTATTTAGTTACTTTAAATATATTGTTAATTAATTCAAAATTAGTCTTGGAACTGAAGAATTAGTATTGTTCAAGTACTTGAACTTTTTCAGTGGATTCTGCTTCTGAAGTTGTTTTCTTCCTCGCTCTTACTACCCATTTCTATTATTAGAAGTTTTTCAGAACAAATCCTGGCTGCCATCCCATGTTTGCATCTCTCGTGGCTTTCAGTGACTCTACCAGTAACATTTGGGCAGGAAAGTCAGTTGCTTGCAGCTGAGTTGCTAATTATATTTTTGTTACTTGGGAAGACAGTAGATCCACAATATTCTCAATTTTGCTACTTGTCATGGGTAACAGGTATAACAAGTGGGACAAGTACATAAAATCTCAAAGAGTCAAAGTAGATTGACTGAATGAGATAATTTATTCAATAGCCATATGGGTGAATAGAAGTTGTGACAGGTATTTTGTTGTCATTTTATACTTTGTGTGGCTACTTTGAGAATCTCATCCTGCATTCATTAAACAATCTCTGTTCAGCAGTATTTGTCCTGTCAAAACAGATTACAAAATTCCTCAGTAGTCAGAAACCTTGTAGAAACAGGAAAACAGTATTTTCTTCATTTTATGTGAAAGAATAAATCTGTTTCTGATTTTCAAGTAGAAGAAAATGTGGTTTATTCTGTACTCAGATTCATTATTCTCTACTAAGAAAAGTGGAGCATCCTTGCTTGTGCTAGTAATGAATCTGAGAAGAAACAATATTTGTTCCAAGCTGCTGACAAATGTCAGCTGGGAAGATGATGGGTTAATATAAAGGTACAACATACTTTTTTACTTGCATCCTTTATAACCAAAGCAAAGACATTACAAAAATATACAAAAAATTAAATAATTAAAGTGTATAACAAGACAGTTTATAGTTAACCAAATTCTGGAAGCTTGAAATAAACAGGATAAAAGGCAAATTGGAGTCTGTATCCAGTTCTCAGGTGGAAATCAGTTTAACCTTCGCTACTTTTTCTGAAGAGTGTTTATCATGTTTCTGGAAGAAGGTTTGTTTTGTCTTTTTCTTTTTTAACTTTGTCGAGCAGAATCTTGCTATGTCTCACCTAGCATCAAAGCACACCACTGGCTTTTTTACCTGGTTAAAAACAAAGAGGTTTGGTTGTGTCGGCATTACTGAAAGGACTCTAATGGCATCATCTAGAACAGCAGTGGCAGAACATGAAAAACCCTATTTTCTCAGAAGCAGTGCTATCTGATCACAACAAAGTATGCAAATTTGGTGCAGGGAAGGGTGAGAAAGAGATTACTTTTTATTTCTAGACCAACTTGACCATGTCTAAAAGGTTTCTGTAGCAGCTCATGAGCATTTTGTCATAAGTGTTTCTGAGACTTGAAGGCTCCATGTTTGGCATGGTTAGGAATTTGCAGAGAAAGCTTGATTCAAGCATTTGAATGTGAGCTCATCCTCTAGGTAGAAAAGTGTTATTTTATTGAAAACAAAAGCAAAATGAGGTAGTTTAGTAGTGGCCTTTCCACAGGCAATGCAGAAGGAAGCATCAGTGCTGGTCATAATCCTTGTAGCCTCCCAATGCAGTGTTGATATGGTTGCAAAAGACCATATCAACATGAAAATATCTACCTTTAATTTAAAAAAAAAGCTTGAAAGACCCAAAACAACCTCTCCTCTGCTATGTTTCCCAGTCCTGTCAAAGAGGAATGAGAAGTTTTTGAGGCAGTCAGATACTCCATGACATTACTTAGTTTTGTCAGAAAACACAGCCCTTTACGTGAATACAAAATTGTGAACAGTCTAACTAAAATCTTCACAAAAAAGTAATAATAGAAAAAACATTCCAGAAGATTGTTTGGATGATGTCAGGTCTGCTTGGGCGTTGTCGCTAGCACAGACAAATTAGGAATGTTCAAGGCAGGGTAAAGCCTGTTAAAAATGCAAGACCAAACCAAGTGAAAAAAAAAATTATTTTCATTGACTATATATTGTGTTGCCACGTAATGGTAAATAAAAACAAGTCCATACACAGAAAAAAAATCAGTGAAAGTTGCAGGAATTAAACGGATGAGATAATCAGAAGTATTATTATGCTTGCAGGATTTCAGGTGAACCACCAGAAACAGAAGGTGCAATCTGCTTGTATGTGCAAACCATTTAGGATGTAGTTCAGAACTACCATGCACAGTACTTAGAAAGGAGGGAAAAGAGGAAAATAATATTTCTAAATAGATATTAAAGTACTTTTTGATTTGTCAAGGTATGGAAATTACTTGCTATAAAAAGAAACACTCGTTTTACAACTGTTTCTTTACCATCAAGATATTTAGAGTGGCATTTTGTAATTGATTCTGGATTTGACTAGCAGCAGATATGTACTATCACATAGTTCCCATTTCTTTGCTGTATGATTACTTTTAAAAGAGTAGACATCTGTCAAGCAGTTCATGATCTGTAGTAAGTGTTTTTTAAAACATGCTAAAAGAAATGTAAACTTCTTAAATTAATTGAAGATTAATTATTTTACTTCTTAAAATAAACTTCTTAAATTAAATGAGAAAATAGTGAAAGCAAATAAATGTATAATGACTGCTTAAGCAATGAGTATTAGGCAATAATTAAGTATTTTTTTTTTTCTGTGCCTATTGGAGAATAGTCCAAAATCGGTGAGATGATTAAAATACTCCACCGAATTTGGATCTCCTGGATGTAAAACTAGTATCAGCTGGATAATAGCTGATGCACCTACTGTACTTATATCCTAAGCCACTGGAGATGAAAAATATTTTCTGTTTTTAAATAGAAAAGATGATGGATGACACAGAAGACTTTTCAACAGGAGCTGCAATTTGTTAACAGTGGTCACTTCTACTCTTGGCAACTGGAGTCATGTTTCATGAAAGATGCATGTCTGCATCCCAGATGAGGCTTTCCAAACAAGCTCTTGCTGTTTGCATGGTAATGAAGCACTTCCAAAAGGTGTTGAAAATAGTCAGCAGGACTGATAAGGTTTTTAGCATGTGACTCAAATCAGTATGCTAGCCACATTTCACGGGCTGCAGTTGGTGCCTGCTGAGTGGATGAGAGGTCATGTTCCTTTTTAATTACACACACCCCATGATCGGTGAGCAGTGCTGTTGTTTCAGGCTGGCATTTGCAGCCTGGGTAGTACAGGGTGCAGGGCAGAGCCTCAACCCCAAACAAAAGGGTGGTGCATCAGACTTCTCTAGGGAAACAGGTTGGCACAAACGCTAGAGAAAGAGAGGTGACAATTACGTGTAAGAACAAAGCTTTTCCATGGTCTGCTCTTCCCCACTCCACCTTGTGATGTGATGGAACACTACGTGGTCATTACTCAAGATGCAATAACATAAAATTTCTTAACTGAAGCCAGGGATTTTAATTTTTCTAGTGTAAGAAAATAGGGTGAGAGAGAATAGACCAGCAGAACAGAAAATGCGGGTGATAACAAAGAGAGGAAAGGAACCCCCCATAAGCATGAAGAAAGTTGATGTCCAAAGGTGGTGGTATCACCAAGAGCTTAGAAATCAAGTTCTGGGATCTGTGTCTGGCCCTGGATATTCATTCTCAGGGACAAGGGAGTGGAGGAACTCGTCTTGCCTTTCCTTTAGAGAGTGTCTGTTCTGCTGCCATCTAACTCCTGGTTTTTCTGGATTCATCTCCACATCTCTCTGCTTTGAATTGCTGCCTCACCCTTGGACTTCATGGCAAATTAAATTACACACCTAAGACCTTAATTTCATGACTGAGCTGTACCTAGTGAACCATTCCAAAAATCTGTAACTGTTTCTAGCTAGAGACTGGAAATCAGACATCAGTTTCTGAAAGAATTCTCTGCCTTCAGGACTGGGCTCTAATTGCTGTTCATCGCGACTTGCTACTTGTTAAAAACAGTTTCATTAAATGCAGCGCAGCTCAGGATTATCAAGATAATTAAGTTTGCAATGATCCATATGACACTGAGTGAATAAAAGCTATCAGAAATTCCTAATATTAGTACAATCCCCTTAAGACTAAAATTCATTATTCTTTGCAATATAAACTCAAACATTTTAGTGTCTAGGCCACAAAGTATTTTCCCAATTTTCTTGAGGGAAAAATTGAGATTACACAGACCAAGAGATTAAATACGATCAGTCTTTTCCCCAGGTAACCAGCAGGCACCATAAACCAATTCAAAGGACAGAAGGTGCAGTCTTGTTCTGGCCAGCCTCCTTCATCTGCTCATTAGCAGGAAGGAGAGCCTACAATTCACCCTCCAATGTGCTGCATATGCTGCATGATTCCAGCAGCTCATAAAGGTTGCAGCTTTAGTACATTGCTTCTAACAACCGGACAGTATTTTAGCAGTGTTCTCCCATTTTAACCATTTTTACCCTTTTTCCTTTCATGCAGTAGCTTAGTGATCAGAATAATGCCTTTATGCACTGAAGCGCCTGCTATCATTATAGTCTAACAAAGAGAGTTTCAGCACCTTCTTTTTGGAATTCAAAATCATAAAGTCTGGTTGTGTTTTCTTGATGTTCTAAGTCCTGTTGAAATATACACATTGGTCAAATTAAAAGCCTTTGGAAATGAGCTAAGTCAAATAGGACCCAGTGAAGATGGATCTTAGCAGCACACCAGAGGGAGGGATGGGGCT